GGTTCAAAAGAGGAGAATTAATAATTTTTATGGCCAGCCGTTTTGTGAGTTTAAGTCCTACTAGGTTTTTAGTTGACTTTCAATTGTGTTGACGTTTCCTTAAGATCATAGTGGTTATACCAAAAAAGGAAGGGATGTAGTGTTTGTAAGGTACATTTCGGTGCATCATACATAATATACTTAAGAGCGCAATGTAAGTTGGGAAGTTGATTATTAAAGCAGCATGGCAGACGTCTGGATTGGATTCGTGTGTCGTATCTGTTCATTGCAATAATCCAGTTCCATCGGTTGTGGAACGTGACACCTTGTAAGGTTTTAAACAAAAATTCTTGGAAACCCAACAATAGTAAGCTAAAGCCATCTTTTGTTGTTCTAGATCTTGTACATCACCCAATACATAAACATTGTCTTTTGGCTGTCTCCCCAATGTTATGGCAGCCTTTAGTCTTTTCTGCTCTTCAGGAGGCCACGAAAAGAACTCCTCGGTTGCAGACATCAGAAAATAGCACAACTGGGAATCACTCACGCTCTCCCAAAGGAGACACTGCCAACAGAGGCAAATGTCCGGTTGATGGCACTTTTAAACACTTTGGCATACGCCATTTCTGAGCACGTGACAAAACAGGGCCTATAATATGAAAAAAATAAATTATTAATGATTTATATCATAGAATACTTGAATATCAATATTTAATGTGCAACAAAAAATAAACCTATTTCATACAAGCTTATCATTTATCAGTAAGTTTATAGTATGAAGTAAGCAATCTTATAAACACCTTAAAGTAGACCATTAAAATATTTCAATTGAACTTATATCAAACTGTTACATTAAGAACTATTACAATTTAGTCGTGTGAAACAGTAAAACTAAGGAAACATGCATTTAGACTGCTACACACGTATGAAAGTATGCAAGTATGATGAGACAAGAAATTAACCACACTTCAGTGAGTTCCTGGTATAAAAATCCATTAGAAGTTGATTTTTCGTCCGCTAACGGAATAGTTGTTCATCGCCCTCACTACTTTTTTCTTTTGGCCGTCAAAGCTCTTTCCCTATTCTTTCACGTACTCTAAAAGGTGTTTATAGTTTGCTACAGGATAGCCTTATTTCATAGTCAGGAAACGTCATTGACTTTATTCCTAGGATGCCTTTCCCTTTGTATAAATGGCGACAATTGCCGTCACTTTTTTACAAAATTCGCACAAAAATGACGTGACTTACGGGCCCGATTTGTACATCATTTGATTTGTTACCTTTGTTCAGAAACGAAACGGTATTATACTGGCTTGCACATCAACTATGTCCAAAGTAATGGCCAATTTCGAGAAAAAAATCGGTTAAGTAATGATCCGCGTAAGAACTAGGTAAAAGAACAATAGACTAGTGCAATAGCGTCAGTTACGTTTCAGGCGCTAATCCCCATAATCAAATTAAATCTGAATGATCTGATTGGCCCAGGTGCAAAAAGCGCGAATTTGGAATTGAGAATTTGATTTAAGATCCCTTCTAAATCATTAAAATAAGATTTCATTTCGGCTACACATTAGATACATTGAAAATTGTAACATATCTTAAGTCTGGACAATTCCTATGCGCCAATACCGAGAAAATTAAACTGATATAGAATAACATCAGGATCGGTTCCGTGAACCATCAATCAGCGACCTTGTTCAGGCCATTTTGCTCGAATTTCACTAAAGAACTGTCAGTTTGTGATCCAAAGCAGTAACGTTTTCACGTGTGTTTGGGAGCCCGACAAAGACGTGCAAAGTAAATACCTGGCTGAAATTCGTGAACGTTCCGTGAATGTATTTCAAAACCAGTCTTCTAACACAGCA